GTGTATGAACTACAGTTAATGTTGTATTGTGACATTTTATGTTGTTTTTATAATTTTGGGAGAAGGAACAAATATTTCTACATGCTAGCCATTGTAATTCTTCATATATTTATAAAAAATGTTAACTTAAGGCATTAAGCTGCGCTTCAATGTTTTCCAAACCTAATTTAAAAACTCCTGAGTGTTGGGTATTTGATAAAGTAACTTATTTACTTAAACTGCTGAAGGTACTAGACACATTTTTTCATCGTTGCTATAAGAATAAGTTGCTGTGTGTAAAATCATATTTTAGTGTCTTAGCATTGAGAGCCCGACAACCGGATGGTGCAATGTTTGTTTTTGGTCCAAAGCGTGTTATTGGCTGAAGTTTTTATTTAAAGAAAAAAATCTCCAACGGTATATTTATAACTAAATTATGTAAGAATGTTGTTGGAGAGAATGAAAAAAAGGTTGTTTTCCAAATTTGCTACAACCACTTTAAATTCTGACAGTTTTTCACACCCACTTGGTCAAAAGGGGCCATTAATTCATTTCAATCCCATTCAGTTTGTTTATAAAGCACCAAATCACAGCAAGAGTCATCTCCAGGCATTTTAGGAAACTCACATTGATCAATTATAACCAGATCTAGCATTTAACAAAAATTCTGTCAACCACACCTTTAAAAATGATATTTGCACACATTTTATTGTGACACTTGTGAGCGTCATTGCTTGTTTTTGCGTGTCTTCAAATTGTGTGCACCCCTTTGCACCAACCCAACAGAACAAATTTTTATCTGTATAAACTTAGCAATAAACCCAATTCTGATCCTGTCCTATTAACAGAACTCACTTAAACACAATCGACATCTATAATACGAATGCTTGTCCTGCTGAGTACAGTAAAAGAGTATACGGTTAAGTTAAAAGTCAAAGTAAAGGAAGTATTGTGAATATCTGGGGTAAGATGAAAGTGATTTTCAAATCCAGCTGCAATCTGCCATCAAGTTCTTCTCAAACACCTTTCCAGCTTGTTAATAATTGTGTATTTTCTAAATAAATAAGAATCGCTCATCTAATGGTTTATAGCCTGGATGAGGACGTGCCAGGGGGATGTCACTCGGTAGGTTTAAGTGAGGCTTCACATCACACCCATACCACAGTCTGCCTTATCTGGTCGACCCCTTACTCCAGACAGCCCTCCTGAATTAATATCTTCTGAAGTCTTGTCTCTCCATCTCCCTCTACTTTCTTCTCTTATCTCCATCTAAGTCAAAGTCGACGACGGGAGACAAACCTGAGTGGCAGGCAGCAGAGAATGAACGGAACCAGGCCCTTCTTTTGGTCCAATACTGAAAATAGGTTGTTCTCCCAGGGACACTAGTGTGACCCACTTCACATCAGCCCAATCAGATAATGCATCAGGGACACAGCTGTGCTCTGATGTGAAGGGGTTTGGTTTTATCATCCAGTTTTGGGCAAATCAACAGGTATAAATGTGCAATTAAACACATGTACAGGTGTCTTCATTTGTTGGAATTAAATTTAAATATTTTAATAAATTATAAGTGCTGTCAGAATGCATGATTTTACAAGGTTATGAAGCTAAAAAGTTGGACAAGAACGTGAGATTAACGTCTATGATGAGCTGATTGGTCATAGGAGTTTAAAGTCAGGAACATTTTAAACTTTCAGATTATATTCAAGCATCTGCTAACCCAAAGCCACTGACAGTACCTTATCCATGAGTTTCCAGCATTTCTCCACCATTTTCTTATCGACCACGGCGGGTTGATGAGCCTGGAGAGGCTGCTGGTGGGGTTGAAAGGCGTCCTTCATCAAACCGATGAGACCGGCGCCCCTCCTCGGATTTCCGGCCATTAATTCGCTCGATGGCCGGGGTTTAGCCCCGGGGTTCGCGTTGACAAACCAGGGGTGTTCTTCTTGACACGTTTTTCAATAAAGCCCTCGCTGTTTTACCCGCCCTGTCTGTACTGAACACGGCCGGTGATTCGTCATGCAGAGGCTGTCTAAGAGCAGAACAAAAAGGCTGTGTGTGCGGGGACTGTACGCAACGCAGCCAAGCTAACAAGCTACATTAGAAAAGACTCTCCGCTTGATTTCCGTCGTCAAATTCAAGTCCGAGACATACTCGCTGTTTGTCGTAGCTGCTGTCAGAAAAGCGGCTTGACTCCTGGCGACGGTGAGTAAAATCTCCCTGAGATATCAAGCCGGCTTACAGTTGGGCGTTAATGAGCAAAATGAGAGCGATCAACAAACAGGCTGAGCAGCTAAAGTAAACACGGATGTCCGGTCAGACTTTCAAAATAAAAGCATCGGTCTACATATACTTGTCTGTTAAACATCAGTAACATCTTAATAACTGCTCCATTTGAGTTTGAACTTTTTTACTTATCACAGTTTTGCACTTGTATATTTAAAATAAAAGACAAATAAAAAATGACTTAAGCCGGACTGAAAAGGCTACATATAGTTTCATAACTTCTAGTCTATTATTATAAAAAGAAAAAAAATCCAAGATGCCATTTCCCTTAAATGAAGGAGATTCTTCTTTTTAATTTACTATAGTCAAGTGCACGATTAGCTAGACTCAGATTACGCTTGACAGTGTTAACATTAAATGTTGTGCCATTAATAAACAAAAAGTCTAAATAAATTAAGCAATAACTGCTGCGCCTTGCTCAACATAGGGCCTTTTTAAACGTAGTGATGTGAGAAATCTCACTTTTTGGTCAGTACTTTATTTGACACTATAAGGGAGGGAAAATAAATACCTTTTTTTATTTAATTTTTGTTATTATAATTTTGTTTTTCAGGAAGACGTATTTCATTATAAATCAGCACATTTATTTGAAATATTTATTTCATTCAATAAAAACAAAAAATAATGCACGCTATCAACAGAAAATGTATGTAAAAACCTTCACATTTAATAATTAAAAAAGATTTTTTTCGAAGACTAACATTCTATTAGAATAAATTTATACCTGTTATTTTACTCTAGGAGTTTAGCGCTACCTACTGGATGGAATAAAATGTATACGCAAGAAACAGAAAAGAAAGAAAAATTTTATGAATTCATCTCAGTCATTTTCAAATGCACCCTGGTAAGACAGACTAAATCAATATATTATTTAACTTTGCAAAGCAAGATTTTGGTCTAGTTCACTAAACCAATTCAAATGTACTTGATCTACATAAAGCCGTCATTAAAGCACAGACTTAAAAAGATATTTATTTGGGAGAAAACATTCCATATTTGTTCATAACGTTACATTGTGTAGAACTTCGCTTGGTGATGTAGTTGTCACGCCTTGGTGTTTATTCTAGAAACCCGCACGCAGCAGGCCTCAAATAACTCACAGCCACACTGATACTGGAGATCACACAGTGCTGGTGCTTTATTATAAACTCATCGTCCTGCTGTCCTAACAGAATGGTGGAGTTGCTGTTCGGTGACAATAATGCTTTACCGTTAAAACATAAGTTGAAAACTCCAGTTATAATTAGTCCTTTGATGTGGCACAATTTCAGACTAAGACACTTCACGCCTACTTTGTCCAGCTTTTTCTGCCTCTGTTTATATTGGAGTTCCTCCGAAGCTTAAAGCAGTAGTCAACAGTTCAGCTCCCAGCTTCGCCTGCTTCCCTCCAAGGAGGAACTCTGCAGACAGCTCTCTGTATGTGCTGCAGACCCTGCGTTCATGAATATCCTTCCTATGAATTGCATGTTTCCACCTATGCCTCGCCTCGCCGTATAACACAACTAAACACCTGCGAGGAAGTCGTACAGCAACCTGGACTTCCTCTGAAAGTCCCAACTCTGGCAGACCCTGCTCAAGAGACATGGTGAGCACAGTTTCTGATAACATGTTGATGGTGACCAGCCGCTCCCCCCACAACCAGGAGTCATCCAGGTGCGGATCAATGGCTGAGCCTCTCTCCGGAGCGTAATCCAGATTGCACTGCTCCACTGGTTGAAAGCCCGCAAGATTTGCATCTTGCTGCATACGCAGCACCAGTTTTTGGCTTAAAGCAGGAAGTCCAGTAAAGTCTGCGATGCGCACTTTTCTCTTCTTGAAGTTTACTTTAGGGCCAAAGTCCTGCAACCGTGTAAAATGAAAAATTTGAATGTTAAAAATATGTAACCCACAAAAAAATACATTTTCATTAAATGTTTTCCACCTGTTTCCTTCGGCCAGACTGTGAGGGATGCCACACATCCTGGTCCATTACGCTAATCAGCTCCCTCTCCTCCTCCTCTGATATAAAGTTCTCCCACAGGAAGACTCCAGAAAAAGGGAAGGAAGAGCCCTCTTCATCTTCGCTGACAGCGAGCCCCGTCTTGGCATTATAGAGGAAATGATGCACAATCTTCATACCAAAAACAGAGATAACATTAATAAACAAAAGCTGTGATGACATGTTTTAATTATAAAATTTCATTTCACAATAAGTAAAGATACATGCCGTCAACATTTAAATAAACCAGGGTTGTATCTCATTATTTAAATCAAATTTACAACATTGTACCAGAATATTGTCAGAACAAACAAGAGTGATTTTTGATAAACAACACAATTTGTCCAGTGAGGGCTTCCGTACCAAGGTTTACAGACGTTACATCGCACATTAAAACTGAGATTTTTGTTCGACACACGTACCTTTGACTCTCTTGTTTCAAGCTGTACACTCGCCTTAAACGTTTCACAGACAAGACAGCGTCGGATGCCTTTACAAGCGCATGGAATAACCCCGTCGCCGTCGTCAGAGACCATCATCATCATGTTGCATCTTCTTCTACTTGGAAATCGTAGCTCCACTGCCATCTAGCGGACGGAGCCGCAGGCGTAAAATTACTTCTTTTAACCCCTATTTTCGTTCTGCCGCACTGTTATTGGCGCATTAAAATTTCAAATAAAACAAAATATGACAATACTTAGTAATATATGTGATAAACAAGAAATATAATAATCGAAAGTCGTATTTGTTTGACTTGTCTTACAGCCAATGTTCAGGGTAAACGGTGGCCAAAGTTTTAGGTAAACCACGCCCACCGGATGTAGACGGAGTTTCCCCGGGAAAGGTCAGTTGTGTTGCAGACACAAAAGTTGCAGAGAGGAGTTGGTAAGTAACATAAAAAATACTTTATTAAACATTATTAAAGGTGTTTGCTCATTTGTTATGGCTAGAAAAAGAGTCAGTTATATTACTAACTACTAACCTAGCAAAGAGTTGATTAATCGATCGTGTCAACGTGGTTATGCTAGCTACTGCTAAAGTAAAACCAATCGAAATCAAACTACCAGATTCAGTTTTACCTTGCTGAAGCATGAAGTTGATTTGGTTATATTCAATTTTTCTCAGTAAAGATGTCACTTGGCAATGGCATCGTCTCTTTACTAAATGAAAAAATGCTAAATATTTAGCTCGTTTTAAGTACAGACATTATTTAAACTTATCAGGCCATACAACTTAATCAGTGAGTGCGAATAAAAGTTTAACATGTTATTTTGCTGATAGATTCCACATTAGATGTCCTTTTCCAGCAGATCAGCTATGGAGAATGTAACAGAGAAGCTTTTACTGGAGAAAGGTTCTCCAAAAACCAACAAACTGGAGCAAATCAAAACTCTGAAGTAAGTCTTCCCCCTTGATTAACTATTTGTGTGTTCTGGTGAAGTCACTCTTTTATCAGTTGATGACTAATCGCATTTAATAGTAAAATTAGTTTTACTTGCAGATATGAAGCTTGATCTAAAATCCCCATGTTGACTTGACGGGTTTCTTCTATTTAGTCTGTCTAAGATGGCGCTGAAGCACGGGGATCTTCCTGTGAAGCTGCTATCCCGCCTGCAGTCCCTGGAGCGGTGGGATCTATCCGGGAACAGGCTGCAGGAGCTTCCAAAGAACCTGAAGCTACCTGCACTTCGGTACCTGGACCTCACCAACAACCAGATGGAGGATGTCACCACCTTAGAGTCTCTGAGCAGCTTGGAGGAACTAAAAATGGATGACAACTTTTACATCACAGTGAGGACTTGGCTGTTTTTGTCGCATGTAATCCAGTACCGTTCCGTCTCTGTTATAACATAAAGGACGGAGCTGCCTTTTTAAAATTCAAACTATTCGATTGGTCTTATTTAAATGAGTGGTTTAAGTATAATTTCTGTCTTTGAATTCATCTCAGAACTTTACAGAATCGTAAAACGTTACCGTGGCATCTTTTGGAGTCTGGTTGTTACATGTGATGCAGTTTTTCCACCCATGACTATTTTACCGCGACAATATCCACATGAGGTGAAAAAACCAAACCAAAAGGAAGTTTTCCTCTAACGCTGTCATCAGATAACTACTTCAACAAGTCTAGATGTTTTATTAGCACGTCCTTTTGTTCTCTGCAGCGCTGCAGCTTTTCCTTTTTGTTAGATATTCCTTTATTTTTGTCTCAAACTTTAAAATTCTCTTTTACAACTGAGATCAAGTCCTGACTCTGTTATTTTTAGATAAGTGATAGTTACAAGCTGATGGTGTTGCTGCCCAAACTGAGGATTTACAACAACAAAGATGTCAGCACCACTGCCAGCCACTTACGATACGTGTTCAGTGACAACCTGAGGACCAGGGTATGAAAAGCGTTTAATACTTTCGTTTGAAAACATTCATGATGATTATTCATTAGACTTTGAGTTAAGCTGTGGCTCTCGATTGCATCACACCTCTAATGTTGCATTTTAAAAGGAAACGACCCAGCTGCTGCACTTTCTCATCATATCCCACACTTGTGTCACTCAGCTGCTGCTTGATTTCAGATAGTCACAGTTTGGGAGCGGAGCTTCAGTCTCCCAGATCCCATCACGGCCGGCAAAATGTCCGATCTGGAGAAGAACTTTGTGAACGCTGCTCGTCATCAAGTCAAATTTGGTCCCAGTTCAGTCAGCGATTTCACCAAATGGAGGGCAAGTCCTGAATTTACAAGGATCTCTGGGACTTTTTTGCTAATTTTCATCCCTTTTTAACAGTTTTTTGTTTTTACTTCCTTTTGATTTTTCAGGTGGAGATTCTTGCTAAAGAGCATCTGCGCTCACTGACACAACCAAAAGAAGACTTCATCCCCAAGGAGTCTGCTGAGGCCACAAAGAACTGTGTAAGATTGCTAATCAGCACCTTTTATGTAAACATCACTGTTACAATACTGTGATTGGCACAAATGGCGTCTCTAAATAAAACTTCTTGCTGTTTCTGTTCAAACTGGGTCAAACATTTTACTCTATCTTCCTTTTCTCAGATAATTTCCTCGCCTTCCAAGAGGAAACGAACCAAACTGGTGACAGATGATAAAGTAATTTTGACGCCTCACAAGAAGTTGAGAGTCAACGCTCTAGAATCTTCAGCTGCTGAAGACAGCCCTCGCAAGTCCCGCAGGGTCTCTCTCCGGACAGACGGGGCTGTCTCCACTCCCACCAGAGGACAGGCGAGGACAGAGACGCCCAGGAAGAGGTCTAAATCACAGCAACTCGAAGAGGAAGAAGTTCGGGTTGAACAGAAAAAAGAAGTCAGCAAAACCAAACAGCTGCACAGGAGTCAGTACACTCTGCCTATAATAAAGATTTGTACTAAGAGTCAGGTAAAGAAACACACAGATGACTCCTTTAGATGCTGTAGAACCACAAAAACATTCCAGTGTCGTCGTTTCTTCCGTACAAGACACAATCTTGTCAGACAACAACCCACAGGGGTTTGTGTTTGTTCTCATCCGTCTCTTGTGTGTGATCCTCCAGCAGCCGGTGCATCTGAAGCCTCTCCACGTGCTCCAGTGTCACAGTAAACAGGACAGCTCCGGGGACTTCTCCACGCAGCTGTGGGCCTGCGCTTTCCAGCCTCTGTCAGGCTCCTCTGGTACTGATGAACCCCTCTGATCCACTCAGATTTATCAGAACAAGTCCTCCGTGGTTTACAGCAACAGCTGTGTATGAAAGCGGATAGCTAAAGCTTTACTCGAGTTGTTTGTGAGGCTCTGAGCGAGCTGTGAAACCCTGCTTTGACAGGCTGTTGCAGTGAAAGCCGCCTGGTCGCTACATGTGGAGGAGACTCTCTGTGTGTGATCGACTGTGAAACGGGAATGGTGATGAAGAAGTACAAAGTTCCAGGAGAGGTGTGTGGGTTGACCCTAACCCTTCTCTGATCCGTACAGAGCAGAGCGACTGTTCAGGTTTAGCAGTTAAAAGCTGCTGCTGTGTGGCCGTTGGTGCTGAATTGGTCTGCTGTTCCTTGTCACAGGAGTTCTTTTCCTTGGCCTGGTCCATTGTGTTGATGTCCCGAGGAGGAAAGGCTCCAGTTCAGCCCTGCAGCATCCTCGCTGCCGGTGGGAAGAGAGGACTCGTCAAACTGATCCATCCCAGGAACAACGTGGCCTACGGCGAGTTCAGAGCCAGCAGAAAGGCGCTCTCTGTCCTCTGCTTCAACCACAATCAGGGAAACTTCTTCTTCAGTGAGTTTTAGTCGGGTCAGACTCAGGAACGGGCGTCTCTCACCAGCTTGTGTGATGATTCTGTTACCTGCTGATCTGTATGTCACCTCACCTGACCTGATGAAAACCAAACAAAGGTCTGGGATTTTTCCCGTTTTGTTTTTAAACGACGCTCCTGATTAACGTCCGTGTGCGACCTCTTGCAGCCGGATCTTATGACAACAAGATAATCATGTGGGATATCGGAGGAGTGGACAACAGTTACAACTTCAAAGTTGTGTGAGTTTCTTTTATTCTAACTTGTGGAATCTGCAGTTTGGATCTCTACCCGACGTTAGCGTTGGAAAACCAGGCCAGATTTGAGTCAGTCGTGTTTTCTGCTTCTTTACCGTCTCTCATTCCTCCCCACCAGTCAGCTGCTGGTGTTGGAGGTCAGCGCCACTCCCCTGCACATCTGCCTGCCCCCGACTTCCCCCGGCTCACACCTGCTGACCGCCTCAGACGACGGCCTGCACTGCTTCAACACACAACTGGGTACCAGCAGCTCCACAAAGAGGTAAAAGCATTCAGTGGATGAATAAGTGCAAAAGGGCAAAGTGATGATGAGGATCTTTAAAGCGACACTTGGATTATTCAGTAGCCTTTTGTTTTTGCTCAGCAGGTCAAATGAAATGGAGATTACGTTTCCCATTTACGAGGAGGAGGATAAAGAACATGACTACCACACTATCGACGGCCTGAGCTTTCTTACTGATGACATAATAGGTGCGTGAGGTTCCTCTATTATGTTCCATGTTCTGTTGCCGTCGTTCAGTTCGTGGACCGAGTCGGAGCCAGAGCCTAGACTGAATCAGAAGCAGTTCTAGTAAATGGTCACATGGTGGCGCTGTAATCCAGGTAGAATGTAGCTTTTATAGTGAGTATCACACAACAATCTGTAAAACTGACCTGCGATTGATCTGGTTGTTTATTTATTTGTCTCACGTTGGCTTTAAATATAAACAAGATGGCTCGGTGTCCTGTGGCTTAGAGCAAAAACACCTCGCGCCTCTAGAGTCCGAGTTCACTTTTTAACTTCCTCTTTACCGGGTTTAATGCAGTCCTTTTGACACAGCCAGGGGAAGAAGCGTCACAGAAATGAACATCGTGAATGATTTGGTAGATCCTTCTGAAGACATGACATTCCCAAGCGTCCAGGAGGAGCAGTGATGTCCCGTGTGCTTTCCAAACCCAAATCATAGATTTCTAGATCATCAATTAGAATTTTTTTGTTTTTGCAGCCAGCCCAGTTGATCAATCAATCAATCAATCAATCAAAGCTTTATTTATAATATGATTGAATATGATTGATTGATTGACAGTTGATGGTGCAGATTTTGGCTGGTGAGATGGGCCGAACCCTTTATGCGGGGAATTCATAGACATTAAAGACCAAGTTCACTAAGAAAACCTTTTTACTTGCCATTCGGCGCTATATAAATAAACTGAATTGAATTGAAATGAAACAAGATCAGTCCCTTCACATGCAGGCTGAATGTGAAAACGGTCTCCTCCCCTACCTCCTGCTTTATTATTTCTTGAGAATAGAAAGTAGACGGGGAAACGCTCAGACTAGAAAAGCCGGTCAGATCTGTGTCATACTGGACATTAGCATCCATGGACTCACCCATCTTGACTTGTGACGGGATAGGCTGGTTTTGATTTAGCATTCTGCAGAGAGATCACATCTCGGCCAGTAGAAGCTAACTGTTAGCATTAGCAACTCCACCACACAGCAGAACTCCTTCAGGCTTGTGTTATTTGTGGAGATGAAACATCAACAAGCGAACAGAGGCAGCGGAAGCGTCTTGTTGCTGTTATCCAATTAGATGCATGATGTCTGCATATCAGGAAATAAGACTCCAACTCATGCTGCGTTCCCCTGATCTTGCTAACTTCTAGTTCCTGAAACAGGAGCGCTAGAGCTTTTTTTTCCCCCAGAAGTCGACTCACAAGCCATTCGTTTATACCAGAGACCACCGCAATTCCACAGAAAATGAGTGAACTTGGTCTTTGAAACAAAAACGTAATTTTTCATCAAAATACCGGATTTCTCACAATTTCAAATTGTATTGTGTTCCCATGTTGTCGGCCCAGCATGGCCTCCTCCCTTCCTCCAGTAGGTATTATTAAACTGGTCCATTCAAAGACCGATGGAAATGTTCATTTCTCCCTTTTCTGTATTTCCTCATTTATTTCTTTTCATTTATCGTTTTTTTTTTCCATCAGCCACTTCCTGGCAACTGGAGGAAAGAGATGTTAAATAGTGCAAAAATCTAATTTCAGTTCATGTACATTTGGGTAATCTCTTCCACAACTGTACTCCTAAACGAGTGAATAACATAGAAAACCCCAGAAGATGTGATCAAGCCATTGTCTTCAGCAGTATCTGTTCTTAGGACGCCCGGTCCGTTTCAGTTATGTGGGAGTGCTTAAATGCATAATGATGCAGATGTCCCACCGTGATGGAATCAAGCTCGTCTCCCTCAGTCTGATCACCGCTCTGCAGATGGGTGCTGTCTCACACAGAGAGCTCAGGCACGAGTGCTGAGCCTGCTGCTCCACACCCTTTTTGTCCACGACAGTGGAACAGCACAAGCATGTGCTGATCACACTCACCGGGCTATTCACCATGTGGAGGGTTGGGTTGAAATACGACAGAGGTGGCAGGAAAATAATCTTTCCCCAGACACAGATAATACCGAGAGGATTACTGATTGGATGAGACATTTCAGGAGTCAAGACAATAAAATTCCTCTCAACACGCATCAGCGAGGATCTCACGCTGTCTTTATATGAAATCTTTAGAAATTTGGCAACCAAAGCTCCTTATTACAAAGCAATCTCTCAGAGAAACGGCTTTTATTGTTATTTAGTAAATACGACTGGTCACTCTGAGTTTAACATGCAGGCTGAACACGAATTCTAAAGGCTACAGCGCTATGTCACAGTGAAAATTAACATTCATGGACTCACCCATCTTGGCTTGTGACGGGGAAGGCTGTTGTTAATTTAGCATCTAGGAGAGAGCAGAGCGCGTTGTAGCTAGTAGAAGCTAACCGTTAGCATTAGCAACTCCACCACATGGCAGAACTCCTTCAAGCTTGTGTTATTTGTGGAGATAAAACATCAATGTTGCACAGCAAACAGTCAGTGGTAGGGTTGCGTTGCTGTTATCCAATCAGAGACAAGATGTCCAAATAACAGGAAGTAAGACTCCAAGTTGTCTGCTGCTCCCAACTGCTCTGGCTCACTTGTAGTTCTAGAAACAGGAGCCGTAAAGAGATCGACTCACAAGGCATTCATTTCTACTAGAAACCATACCAAGTTTATTTGTACAGCACATTTAAACACGGCATGAGGGCCGACCATAAGCTGAACAAAAACACAATAAAAACAATCAAAAATAAAAACTAAAACCATTCAAATCGAGTAATCCAACTCGAAAAGAAAAGGAGAAAGAGAATAAGTTAGACTGAATTAAAAGCCAACAAAACCCCTGCAGATGTGTTTAAAACAAGAGTGAACTTCGTATTTAACCTCCGCAGAGGCACGGCGGAGAGCGACCCACCAGCTCCATCACTGCGTGGCATAGAAACTGCACTATGCAGGAGAGGAATCCTTACCTTCTCTCCTCTACAGGACATGTGCAACAGCAGGGCGTGGAGAGAACACACCCTGCTTCTCTCACAGATGCAGGGTTAGGGTCTGCTCCAGAAATGAGAAAATGACAACGACAACAAATTTATTCCAGTGCCTGTTCCTCCTGACTGCTGCTGAAGTATCATTGAGACCCGTTCAAAGCTTTTCTACTCATCGTCTCTAACATTGGTTTGTTTATGTCATGCGAAGCAAACCAAGTAAGGATGTAACTGCACGTTTTTTGTGTTTTTTAATGTTGACTACCTTTGTCTGTTTTAAACCAAAGCCTCTAAGAGCCACATGCACTGTTCCATCTATCTGTGGAGCTGGAGCAGGACCAGGTCTCAGCGGCCCAACAAGGAGAGCAGATCGGTGTGTGCGGTGGTTCTGGCTGAGCTGCAGTGGGCCAGTACGAATATCCCCTACCTGGCTCTCAACACCTGCCCTGGTAAGTGCCATATCATCCACTCGTTGGTGCTGTGCAGACTGTCATAGCACAATTCTTGCTTTGTAGGTTAATTTAAAGGTGTGGAACTCTGAAAAACATTTTACTGGTTATTTCTGATTATAACTGGCCACTGTGAGTATGTCATGCAGGCTGAACATGAAAATAGTCTCCTACACCTATCTCCTACATTAATCTCTGCTAGACAATGGAAGGTGAAACTCTAGGATTTGAAAAGCCTGACGGATCTATGTCACACTGTCACTTAATATCCACGGGCTCAGCCATTTTAACTCATACGGGAAGGCTGTGGTTGTTTTAATGTCCGGGAATCAGCAGACAACATATCAAATCGTAGAAGCTAACCGTTAGCGCTAACAACACCACCACACAGAAGAACTCCTCCAGGTTTGCGTTATTTGTGCAGATAAAACATCAGCGTTGCAAGTCAGTGGTAAAGTTGCTGTTGTCCAATCTGAGGCGAGGTGTCCAAAACCAGGAAGTAAGATTCCAAATCCTGCCGTGTTGTGCCGCTCTCTGCTGCAGCGGTCTTGTCCGTGCTGATCCAAGCGTCTCTGGGCCCGAGTACGGCTTACCAGAGACCACTGCAAACGTATTGATTACATTTGTTTTCAAGACCAAGAAACGAGAAAACAATTGCATACTTATTGTAAAGTTGCATAAGTAAATCAAACAAATCATATTAAAATATTTTTGTGTGTTTTTATTGAAAGTAAATGTTTGTGATCCTCCAGTTGTTTTAATTTGGGGATTCTGGCCAGCAGAAATCAGCCTCCCTCTTCACAAATGTTTATTTTTAAAGAGAGTTGTCCCTAAACCACTACAGTTATTCTTCTGACTCTGTTTGGATCCAGATGTTTAATCATGTTGGGTGCTTTGTCCTGGTGTGTGTTTTCCTTTTAGGGCGGGCCTACATAGCATGTGGCGATGACAAAGGCCGAATATGGACATATCACGTCACCAGTCTCCCGAAAAACAGCTTTCAGATTGGAAAACCCATTCCTCCCACTCAGGTGTTTACTTCGACAAAACAATTGGGTTTTCTTCTTAAAAATAAAAAATGTTATGCCTCTAAAACTGTTGTAAAGAAAAAAAGAAAAGGCATTTGCTTGGTTGCACAACTGTACTTGCTGCTCACAGTAACGTGAAACCGTTAAGTTAATAGTAGACATGTGAGAACACCGTTTACTGAAAGGCAGCCAGATTAGGGGAGGGGGGCAGTAAACAACCAGGATGTAAACAAACCTCCAGATCAGCCAAACAGAAATCAAACAAATCATCATCTCTGTTTCAGTTTCATGCTGTTGTCTGGGCTGTGTGTGCACCCATGTTTAACTAACACACCCATAAGAAGGTAGAGGAGGTAGCACCAGGCCTAACTGTAATTATGGTGCTAAAATGTTACCACGAGCTACAAAGTTAAGAATGTAAATGTATAGGTTAGGCTTTAGGTTGAGAAAACGTAAATAAAATCGACACAGACTACTTTGTACACACCTGTTGAGGTGTTGTCTGTTTTTAAATGACGTAATCCACTGAAGCTTGGTCCTTGGTGTTTCTGTCAGGTGTTGGAGTGGCCGTCCCCGACGAGGAAGGGCCTGGGCCTGACAGAGGGCCCCTCCATCAACAGTGTAGCTATGGACCCAGAGCTTCGCTACCTGGTGGCCCTCACTGATAAAAATATGGTGATCGTGTGGAGGAGAGAGGACGTGAACTCAGAACTGTAATGTTTGTTCTGTCTGAAATGAGCTGGAAGTACCACATGTTGGTATTTTCTACGGTAGTCAGATTACTAGCTGAAAATGTGAATTTTTATTTCACATCATGGACGACACACCCAACATCTAATAATCCTCTGAAGGAGCAGACACATTTTTAAATATATTTTGAAGAAATTTATTTTCTCCACCAAACAGCTTCGTCGACTTATTGATGACAATTTTTTTAAATTCTATTTTATCTTTTTGTGGAAATTTACTTGAAACTTAGATTGACTTATTTTATTCTTTTTCTGTTTTATAATATCTTTTTTTGTCTGTGGAAATAATATTCGTTGTTTGAAAATGATTCAAATTTAAAAGAAAGTTATTACAACACTACACACACTTAAAAAAAATTTCCAAAGATGAGAAAAGTCATTCAGCTGATGCTGCTTTAACTGATGTCCTCCATGTCTGCAGGATGCATAACAGACAGCTAACACATTAACCCCCATGTAATTCTGTTACTCCCACTGTCTGAAAGATGGTTAAAGTTAAACAAAATGAAAGTAATGTGAAGTTTGTTACTGGTTAATGGGTCTTTTAGAGTGCTGAATGAGCTGAGTGTTAAGATTTTACTTGTTTTTTTTTTTTATTGTAACTGTATTTTTTAGTCCAAAATGTTGCTAATTTTGTTCCAGGTTTTGTGAATAAAGTAAGATTATCTGGGAGAGAATACAGAAAATAAAACAGTTCTTGTAAAAAATTACATGGAAAACTTTAATTGAAAAAATTGTCTTTATTTAACCCAACAAACAATAGTTTCAATGAATGTTCCCTAAAAGTTACATTCTGAACAAACCTCTAGGGAATGTTCCCTAAAAGTTACATTCTGAACAAACCTCTAGGGAATGTTCCCTAAAAGTTACATTCTGAACAAACCTCTAGGGAATGTTCCCTAAAGGTTGCACTGAACGTTTTCTGTGGGTTCCAGGAATAAAGACCTCCAGCTTTCAATTTGACTTTCATGGAATCATTGGGGAACAATTACTGCAAGTTCCCTATAGATTGCAACATTAACCTTTGGGAACTGTATTATACAGTAACACTAATATACAATATTTGTACCATATAAAGATGTATCTGTTCATATTTTTTTAATTTTTGTACATTACTCCTTCCAGTCTATTAAAGGCTTATGAGCGCTCATTCCTCACGAGTACAGTAGTCTGTGCCGTGGGGGCGTGGCTGTAACATAGCCCCGCCCCTAACCGGCTGACCGATTGGCTCAGCAATCATGTCGTCTCCTTGGCTCTCTCCCACTGGCCAATGCGCACCAAGGCCTTTCTGTCCCCCTCGCTACTGTATTCAGATTCATGCCTTTGTGCAACAGGACAAGACCCTAATGGCCTCATAGCCATTTAGTATCCTGGAGAACTGGCCAGCTCTGTTTGCGCTCACGGCTAGCCCCCAAATGCGTCCGGGACTTGTGGGTAAAGCGGCCGAGATGCTGAGCGGTGTCAGCAGCTTAGCCAGGCCGAGGCTCAGTAGCCTCTTACTGGTCCCCGCTACCAAAACATCACCACCGATGTCGGGCGCCGGTAGTCAGAGGTTTCGCTCGACATCCTCGGCGCAGGGATTTTCAGAGCTGGCAAGAGAGCGGTCGAAGACTGTCACTTCCTTTTATAACCAGTCTGCAATCGATGTTTCTGCAGAGAAGGTAAGAACTGGGTTTTTATGTCATTTTTCTCCTCCTGAAAGGCGAACGTGCATCTGTGGCGAGGAGGGACTGAGCTAGCCGCCGCTTGATAGCAAAGAAGCTAGCCGTTAGCACGGTTAGTGTTGCGTTCAAGGATAAGAAGAAATAGCAGTAAAACCGATTTTTTTTCAGGCTACTTTGAATAAATAACATGTAAACCAATGAAATCAAGTTCACATGTCACGGACCAAGTGAGAAAATGAACCTCGTCATAGTCTCTCAACTAAAAGATTTTTGTCTCCAGAAACACCGAAATTCGGATCATTTAAATATTTTTAATTATCTCCCATTTTTCCGTTTTCAAAATGAAAATAAAATTACATTAAAACTCTAGAGCGTTTTTTGCTTACTTTACACAATTTAAATTCATTATACGTTAAATATACTTATTACTTAATATGTGTGTCTGTAATTTGTGAAGTAGTCACGGAGCGGCTGTGCTCTTTTACGTCACTTTGAACGCAGCGTCGTAAAGAACATCTTGTGTAGCGAACATCCTGAAAACGAACTCAAGCACACATCCGTAGAAAATGCATGAAAACGGCTGTCCGTGCAAAGATGTAATCAGAGTAAAAGTGTTTACTCGTGAAAACAACTTAATACGAACCTTCTGCGAAGCACTAATCATTACTATCGTTATTGATAAACAGTACAAACAACAGGTAGAGCTTCTCTCACTGGCAAAGCCAGGTGTTTTTGTTCCTGGTAGAAACCTTTGTAAAGTTTTTTTATGGTCACGTGTTTCCCAGATGTCTGTTGTTAGCAGTTTTCGTCATCCAGTTAGTCATCCAGAATTTCCAAAGAAGCTCTTCACTGCAGCAAAAGAGGAGGGAATTAGTAGACTCGTGTTGTTTTAAGTTGCACAACTAACACACTTCTTCCGCAATATTAACTTTATAAAAACACATAAATCTTTATGCTATATAGGGAGATGTGTGAATATTGTGTGCATTTTGCATGGCTGTGCAACTTTGTTGCAAGACATTAGCGCACCGGGACAGTTTTCCATTACCTGTTATGGTTGAGTTCACAAGGTAATAGAAGAGACAAAGGGACCATATTTAGGTTGGTGCTCTTGTGGAGCTGAAAGAACTGTGTCAACTTTTTTATCCTCCACTTGTACTTTTAAGTTTTACATAGTCACACACATTTGTTCTCTTTTACAACTTTATATTAAGGTAAACAATCTTAAAAATGTTTGACTTGGGTGTTCTCGGTCACCTGCAGATGTGGTCTAACCGGTCCAATCTTGTTTTCCTATTTATCCAAGTTACAATCAGCATGCTCATAAAAGGAGTACACTTGTAAAATCTGATTGTATTCAGTGTTATGTTTACACACACTGAACTGTTGTGAGAACAGCAAATGTGTACTTTTTCCAGGTATTCTTTTACATCCACACTGAACACAGTTTGAGTTTCATAACATTCCCTTTGTTTTCCAAAGTATGTAATTTTATCCAACTGCAGCTCCATGACATTCATATTTAGTATAATTCCCATCATTTCCCATCTCTTATCATTTGGTTTTTCTAAATCTGAACTTTATTTACTAAATTGATAAGATAATTATGTAATAAGGTAATCAACAATTCGTTAGGTAGATAGTAACATACTTTGTCAGCTTTGTCAACACAAAGGGATACTTTGCAATGTTTTCATATTTTTAAAATCACTTTCTTGAGCCAGAATGTGCGAAAACAACTCTTTACAGGGTTAATGAAATGTCACTCAAACCCCAAACGCCCTCTGAGGCCAGAATACCGCATTTGCAACTTCAGAGTGTCAATCCGGTCAGTTGGAATTAGAAAAAAATTGAGCTGACATACCTGGTGCTGCAGTCTGCTTCCAGCACGTTTCCTGCATGTTTTAGTTCGTGAACAGAGCTGATTTGTTTAATTTAGTGATGAATCGCTCCTGTAGACACCAATGAATGCTGGGGAGACCTTTCTGCTGATAGATTAAGGTGTTAAATACAAACACACAGCAAGGAGGTGAGTTTTGCTTTTGATTCTACTAAACGGACACTAGGGGGTGTAAAAGCAAGCCAAAACTACCTAGTCTTTGTTTAATAAGTTTCCCGCTCCCCCCACTGGTTCAAAGCAAAATTACAATGGTCAGAAACGTTCTGTCTTAGCCTGCTGTAGCTAGTGCTAACATGAGCCTACGGATATTTTATAAGCTACAAAGTAAAATGATCCACACTGTTGGACAAGTCTAGTAACAACATAGCCAGGTCAGTCCGTGGCTTCGTAGCCTCCTTCAGCCGTCAGTGTAGATGTTCAGTTTGGTTTTAGCTCTTTGCTTCTCCTCCAAAGGCATTACTCTCTAACTTTTACTTCCAGGCTCCTCCATGATGCTAACAAAAATAGCTACATTATGTTGCTTCTTCTTGCACTTTATAGTGACTGTTGTTGAACTGAAAAAGCTAACTGCTTGCCTTCATATTAGCTGCCATCACAGTAAAGTCTATTGCTGTAAAGTTGGTAGAGACGCCACATTAGTTTTCCTGGTCTGCAGAGTGCTGTCCAGTGTCAAGATGTTCAGGTTTCTGGCTTACGAATCACAGAAACCAGTTTGAAAGCAATAGATCAAAGTGTTGCTTCAAGATAAATTACGGTTTAAGAAAAACATGTAGATCAAAACCCTTTTTTTTTAAATAAATTGTTTATTTCAGTTATGTCTTTCTCGCCCAAGGCTTCAGTTCGACTAACCTTAGCAACCCTCCTGTATTCTGGGAAGTCTCCTGATGGACACCACATCCTGGTAAACACTTGGTCCACACAGAGCATGCTGCATCGCACTAGTCCTCGCTCACTATTATTTCTGTATCTGATCTCAGAGCAGTGCCAAGTACCTTCACAAAGAGCTGCCTGTGCGGATCGCCCACCGCATCAAGGGCTTTCGGAGTTTGCCCTTCATCATTGGCTGTAATCCCACCATCCTGCAAGTGGTAAGAACACAAAAACAAACGATCATGCAGCTTACGTGATTCTACATAGAACCAAACCCTGCAGCAGATGCTCCAGGACAGAGAACATGGGTCCTTCCAGCTTGGTGTTGTCAAGTACGTTTGCTTTAATCGACCTGCTGGCTGAGATTCATTTTGTTGCAGTGTTTTCTGGCTTGTTTGGTGTTTTAATCACTGCCGATTGGAGCTGAAGCTGATAAGTACCTTTCACAGCTGCTCTGTGAAGAATGTAGATTGTATTTTTCCCACAACAGCTGAGAGTGGGAGTTAGTTAATTATCTCTCACAACCCTTAAGTCCACCATCAATGCTCCTGTTCCCACTAGGGAGGGCTTAGTGTCACTAAAGTAAAAGAACAGAACGGTTCAGTCCCAAGCTCAGAAGTTTACCCGACATTGAAATCTGTGACTTTGACAAAGGCATCTGCATTAAAAGACCAATCAGACCGTTGATTTGCTGCATCAGAGCTGAAACACAAAGATCAGCAGAGTAAATAAAGTCACTCAAGCGTCACAACAGTGGTTTAGTATCGGATGCATCGCTCTTCTGGTGTGAATCAACATAAATGAAGGGAAGTCAAAGACTAAGTGGATTAATTACTCCTGGCAGCTTTCACTAGACAAAATGTTCTGTTCCCTTTAGCATGGCATGAAGCCATTTTTGCTGCACAACATATGAACCAAAAGCAGACTAAACACTCCTGATTGTTTAACACAACAGTTTGAGCCACAAATCTCACCGATCTAACTTATAAATTCCTGTTCACACTTAAAAATGTGGAGCACTCATTTAATCAATACATTTGCAGTGGTCTCTCTAGTAGGAATGAATGCCTCGTAAGTCAAACTCTGGCGCTAAAAAGCCTTGGTGCGCCAGCGGCCAGTTACGGGTAGTTACAGAAATTAGCCACATCAGAGCTGAGCTTCAGACGGCAGGATTTAGTCTTATTTCATGACATCTCTCCTCTGATTGGCTAACAGCAACACAACTCTACCACTGACTCAGTTTGCTTTGCAACGTTTATGTTTTATCTCTACAAACAAAACAAGCCTGAAGGAGTTCTGCTGTGTGGTGGAGTTGCTAATGCTAATGGTTAGCTACTACTAGCTGAGGCGTTCTCTGCTGAGTCCTATACGCTAAACCAACAACCGTCTTCCTCGTTGTTATGCACTGCGTCTGTGGATGGAGTAATTGTTTTCCAAACCTATAAATCAGCACCCTTACAGGGCGAGTCCAGAAAAACTAATGAAACAAAAAACGGATTACCTGGTTCAAGATGGTTTAGTGGTAGCAAGTTGTAGTCCGTGGGGATCTCCTTGTTTGGTAGAAAAGAAGCCTGATGGTTCAACCAGATTCATTACTGATTACAGAAAAATTAACGCCGTCACTGAGCCAGATTCGTACCCGTTGGCGTGTGTCGATGACTGCGTTGATAGAGTAGGTATGTCGACGTATGTATCAAAAGTGGATTTGTTGAAAGGTTACTGGCAAGTGCCTCTTACAGAGAATGCGTCGAAGATTTCCGCTTTTGTTACTCCGGACGCATTTCTTCAGTACAAAGTCATGCCGTTCGGGATGAGGAATGCACCTGCCACGTTCCAGCGCCTGATACATACAGTCATAGCTGGCTTAGGAAGTTGTTTAGATGACATAGTTGTTCACACAATGTCATGGCATGAACATCTTCAAACTTGAGCTGAGTTGTTTAAGCGCTTGGAACAAGCCAGTCTGACGATAAACCTTGCGAAATGCAAATCTGTCAGGGCCACAGTCACACACCTGGGGAAGGAAGTGGGACACGGATTTGTTCGTTTGCTTAAAGGTAAAGTGCTAGCAGTTTCAGCCTTTCCGGTGCCCAGGACGAGACGGGAGCTCAGGCGATTTCTGGGGATGGTAAGGTACTATCACTGCTTTAGTCCAAATTTTGCAACAGTGGTGCATCCCCTTACATACCTGTTAAGTCCAAAGTTCCCCTTTGTTTGGAGCTCAAACAGCTTTTACGTCCTGTATTCTTCTCTCCAATGCACCTGTATTGAAGGCTCCAGATTTGACCAACCCGTTCACCTTGGAGGTTGATGCCAGCCAAGCGGGGGCTGGTGCGGTTCCTCTACAGGCCGACGAGAAGGGTATTAACCATCCGGTAGCGTACTTCTAGAGGAAGTTCTCTCCCTGTCAAGCCCGGTATTCGATTACCGAAAAGGAGACGCTGGCACTAATTATGGCTCTACAACATTTTTGAGTATATGTAAGTTCTACTACCGTGCCGTTGGTAGTATATACGGACCATAACCCGTTGTCACCCTTGGCCAAATTGTTCAATCAGAACCAGCGATTAATGAGGTGGGCTTTGCTATTGCAAGAATACGCTTTGGAGATCAAACATAGAAGGGGGACCAATAATGTAGTAGCGGACTGCCTGTCCCGCGTTCCTGATTGGAGTTAATTTGGTTGTGTTGTGTTGTGTGTGTGTGTGTGTGTGTGTGTGTGTGTGTGTGTGTGTGTGTGTGTGTGCGTGCATGCGTGCGTGCGTGAGATGGATTGTGTTTGTTGAGATCATCAAACTTTTGGTGGGCAGGGGAGGTGTTATGCTCTGCGTCTGTGGATGGGGTCATTGTTGTTCCCGGGGACTTCTCACAACGTTGGGTCCACAGAGGAGCAGAGAGGAAAAGTGTGGGGACTGACACGTGCTCCTGCTGCAAGAAACGCCAGGTTGCTGGGGCAACGGCGGGAGATCTCCACAACAGGGACGTGGCAGCGGCTCCGCCGATGGGAGGAGTCTCCGGAACGCGCAACAGGAACCACACCTGCAGCAAATGAACTGATCTCTCTCCTCACCCCTTCACCCGGGTTTAAGCAGTTCATGGACGCTCAGTGGAGGAGCGACTCTGTAACCCTGAGCTCGTCTCCGTAGCTGCTTTTCTGTGCACATTTACCTTTTGGCAATCTAAGCTCTTCTACTACAATAAGAGTTTTAGTAAATAAAAGAGATTATACTTCTCACTCATTTCATTTACGTCATTCTGTGTGTCCTAGTTTGTGAGCACCAGAGAGAGTGTGTGGAGGAGTAGCCTCTTCCCTGTGCAACCTTGTTCAAAAAGAGTAACTTCTCATCTGTACTCGGTTCGGAGACAGATGGTTTTCAGTTTTCCCTGTTAGTACCCCGACACGGGAAGACGTTTTGGTTTGTAAACGGCGGCTTCAGAGGCCCTAGGCTGTGTCACTCTGCTGGGAGCCGTTTTGGCACATTTTCCCTACGGTGTGGGCTTAGGGTTAGTCAGCACCTCTGTGATTGCCTGGCCTCTTATTAGGGGAGAGGGGAACATGCGAAGCTCATCCCTCTCCAGGGAGAAATATGTAACACTCGTCCTGAGCCAAGATGGGTGAGTCCATGAACGCTAGATCTGTCAGGCTTTTCTAAGCCTAGTTTCACCATCTAATGGACAATGACACCCCATGAGCCCAACCGCGTTTGAACTGCGGCCCCAACTTCTCACCTGATGAAGACCTTAGAAAGGCTCATGCTCCACCACCTTCACTCACTGGTGAGCTCAGCGCTGGACCCCCTGCTGTTATCTACCTGTTGCACCGATCCCTCTCTCACCTGGAGCAGGTAGGGAGTACTGTGAATAGGGCTGCAGCTATCGAATATTTTTGTAATCGAGTACTCTTATCAAATCTTTTATCGATTAATGGAGTACTCTAATAAATGACCCTTTTGTGTTTGTAAACCATTATATCAAATAGCATGTTATAAAATATGAAAGACCTCTTAAAATGAGCAATCAATTGCCAGTTATTCAAGTTTTATTCAAAATTAGTTTGCAAAACTTCACAGTAAACAAACGCCTGTGCAAAAAATAAGTAAACAAGCTGAGCTGATTTTCCCCTCGTGCGAGAATCTGCTAGCCTGCAAGCCAGACAAACCTAGGAGGATAACTGTTGAAGTAGCGCTGCGAGCGGCTGCGGCCCAAACAGAACCAGAACCGCTCACGGCGCAGGCGCAAACATGGCTCGCCAGCTGTTTCCCTACTAACACACGTCCGTTTTAATTTCTACACTTTTTTTTCTCACACTATAACAAGGATTGTCGAGAAAGCATGTTTGCCGTGGTTATGCCAAATTATACAAAACATTTATTTACTTTATTGTTTTCCCCCGCCACTCATAAATACCCGTGTCCTCCTGCAGCAAGCCCGAGGGACAACAGACATCAATAACAACACAATAAAAAGTCTGACATGTTGTGTAAAAACTGCTATTTTTAGCACATTTGTGTGCGTGTGCGTCACTTATTTCGGTCCGGGTGAAACATGACCCTGGGCGATTGCAAAGCCATGAATTAATTAAGCATGAATTAAACGAAGCCTCGAGGCAGAGAATTTGACTTGAGGCTGTTTTGTACTCGAATTACTCGAGGTACTCGAGGAATCGTTTCTGCCCTAACTGTGAAGGTCACGTTTTCTGACTTCTCCAGTGCTTCCAACACCATATGGCCTGCTCTGCTGAGAGGGGAAGCTGGAGGGAGCCAGTGTGGGCAAACAGCCGGCTGCATGAGTCATCGATTATCTAACCAACAGACCACAGTATGTGAGACTCCACGAGTGTTTGTCGGAGGTAGTAATCTGCAGCACGGGGGCGCCACAGGGCACAGTTCTTTCACCCTTCCTGTTCAGCCTGTACGCCTCCGACTTTCGTTATAACTCAGACCAAAGCCACCTACAAAGGTTCTCGGATGACACGGCCATCATCGGATGCGTATCAGATGGGAACAATCAGGAATACAGGGGGGTCATCAGTGACTGTCGGATGGTGTGAGTCCAACGCTCTTCAGATCAACGCTAGCAAGACGATGGAGATGGTCATAAACTTCAGGAGGACGTCACCCCCCACATCAATGGAAAAAGACATTGAGAAGTTGGGTGTTCACCTCAACAATGAACTGGACGGGTCTACAAATACAGACGCCTTGGGTCAAGGTCGATTCCACCTGCTGAGGAGACAGGTCCTTCGGTGAATGCGGGACTCTGTTGAGGACTTTTTAGGATTCGGTGGTAGCATCTGCCGTTTCTGTGCAGTGGCCTGTTGGGGGAGCGGATGGGGAACTGGTGCGGTGGTCTAGTCTAGTTGGACAGTAAAAGTAGTTGCAGCAGAACAGCATGCTTCACAACCCCCTATCCACAATGCTTACGGTGTACGTGTCTACATAGGAACTACTGTTGTATACAGTGCCTTGTCTATTGAATTATTTATTTTTGCATTCTTGGTCACTTTTGTACTCCGTTGCTATCTGTCTGAGCTGTGCTAATGCAAACATTTCCCCTCTGTGACGTCTGTTTTCTATCAGAAGCTAATGCTGGAGATAGATGTAGGAGACTATTTTCATGTTCAGCCTGCATAAGAGTTATAATCAGAAATAATAATTAAAATGGTTTTTCAGTGTCCCACAGCTTTAAACAACTTTGTTAAGTTAACACTGGTGCTCAGAAGTATTGTTACTCCAGAAAAACCAGTGGGAACAGGTTGTTCTTCAAGGCCTTGGTGTAGAGTTCTGAACCACATACCTCAGAACCACTCGGTACAGCAGCAGTGGCGTCGTCACCCGTTGGTCTTTCTCCAACATGACAAAAACCATCCCTACAAACAAAAGAACATTTTGTGACGTAACAGCTGAGTGTGTATCCCCGGAGCCCTTTACAGCTGTTGTTCTGTTGCTGATGACCTTTCACCCACATTCGTCCTCTGGTTTCTCAGAGGGTTTTGTGCCAGTTACACGAAGCTACCCCCCCCCCCCCCCCCCCTTTAAGTTTCACCTGCTGGAAAGTAGATTTGCTTGGATGCAGTTATTTATGAGAGAAAGAAAAATCTAGATTTTTGTGTGCTTCACTGAAGGACCCAAAGGCTTGTTGGTGCTGCTGTGAGGCCCGTTGAGGGTCTGGTTCTGGTGTGGCAAAACTCGTGAATCTCCTAACTTGTGAATCTCTCCTTCCTGCAGCATGAACTGTATATCAGAGCCTACCACATGCTGAGCGACTTTCCTCAGGTACGTGCATGCTCACAAAAACAGGAAATACCACAAACACACACATGCAGACAGGCAAACACAAGTTCATAAGTTCACGTCTTCTCGGGTAGGCGGTTTCACTCTGAGCAGGACGGGAAGGGTGAACTTATGGTCTGTAAATAGCAGCTCCAGGATTCTCGGCTCTGACCCAATCCTGACTGGTAACTTCTAAGTCTAACACCTTATGTTAAACTGGTGGAATAGGAGATGTTGTGCTGTCCGTTCAAGCTAGCTACTTTTTGAATATACACAATTTTAAAGGTGCAGATTGTAAAAATAACGTCCCGTGGTCGACTTGGGTAACTGTAGTCCATTTTCCTAAGCAATAAAGTCACTTTCATGGCTGCTGTCAGCTACGAATCAACACCAGAAGATTCTAGATGACAAGCAAAGATGAGTCATACGCAGGCGATAGGTAGATAAATGCATCGTTACATCAGGTGTAAACCTATTGTTAACGTAATTTACTGGATGCTTTACATTAGAAAACACTTACTGCATTTATTATGGTAAGATTTCTCTGGCATTAGAGGAAGTGTGGTTATTTACCCTCTTGCTGTTATAGTTCTGAATGACTCATTAAAGGAAGTAAAACGCCACGATGGAACCACACACACACACACACACACACACACACACGGGTGGCCACGGTAGCAAGCAAACAGCTCTGCCAGCCAGCGGGACAGGCTGCGTTCACAGACAACAAGCCATCACCTAAACATTTCCCAACAGCATGTGAACATGTGAAACAAGCCAAACCAAACATTCCATCTGTTACTCGGGGAAACCCGGCTCTTGCATCACTTCCCGTTCAGCTGCTCCAAAGCGAGAATGTGTGACTTGTGCACATAGAGGGGTATGTGCACAAGGAGGAGGGGGGGTTCAGCGGTTATGTTGATGGATCAGGATCCAGTCATTAAAGAGCAAGTCACCCCCTACCAGAGTCTTAAGCCGGGCGTACACAGTGCGACTTTTTCACTTTTCTGAGCCGATTTTCCACTCGTGCGAGAATCCACGACATCGGGGCGAGTTTACAGGGGGTTACGAGAGGCGATTAGCACCACGTGACCAGCTGCCGATCAGCAGTCGTGAGCTCGCACGGACTTCTGGTGTGTTTAATATTTCGCTCGTCCCTCGTGAGGGTATCGCACTGTTGAAGCGGCGCTGCGAGCAGCTGCGACCCAAAAAGTACCAGAACCGCTCACGGCGCATGCGCAATCCTGCATCAACGCCGCTCGCTATTTCCCTAATAACACACGCTGTTCGTTTCTGTTTTTACACGTTTTTTTACTCACAAAGATCGTCAAGAAAGCGTGTTTGTCGTGTTCATGTCAAATTAAACTGATCACTAAACACAGATTTACTTTCTTTATTTGGTTTTCCTCATCCAACCCCCATAAATCCCTGTGTGTCCTCCTGCAGCACTCCCGAAGGACAACAGGCAAGACGAGACCAAAAAGTCTGACGTGTTGAGTAAAAACTGCTATTTTTAGCATATTTTAGGGCCGACGTGTTGCTACCAGACGTGCAGTGTGAGCAGTCAGGTCGCATCCGAGAACTGGGTCGTAAAGTGTGAGCGCCTGACTCGTGAGATCTGCTCTGCGAGGAAGTCGTACAGTTTGAGCTGAAGCTGAACGCTGCGAGTGAAAAAGTCGCACAGTGTCCGCCCGGCTTTACTCAACTTCCACTTCCTGTTTGAAAAATGCAACAAATGCTGTTGCCTGGCAGACCAAGAGGGCGGAGCCGCTAACAAATACACACACACAGGCTCACAACGACATTGTGACATCATACAGTACCAGCTAACATCACTGTGTACCTCTTAGCCAATAGCGGTGGCAGATTTAAATTCAAATGCAGTGCCGAGCTTTAACCTGACGACGGCACAACACTGACCGTTTAGTCAGAAGATTTAAATTTGAACTAAGATGCACTGAAGTGCCAAACGATTGACTACACGTGTCTGCAGCGCGATAAGACACTCGTTTGTCTAGTTTATCAGCAAAAAACAGTGAGTTGTGGGTGACTTGCTCTTTAAGAACGGGGCATTAACAATGGTGGGATGAGACTTCTCCAGGGTTGTGTTTTAGAGGTGATTACAGTCATTAGCAGGCCTGGGCTGTATCCAAACTTTAATACCGTCCAGCTTCCTCCACGTTCTACCACGGTGTACGGGATTACCTGGACTAATTTAAAAATGATGACGTAAGCCTCAAGTGGAATCGCCCAGCTGTTGGTTTGGACCTTCACCATGGAGAATGTGAATAACTAACATTATTACTCAAACAATAACAACATAACACACATAATATTAGCAACTTTTGCAAAAAGCAGCTTATAAAAAGATCTTTCGCCTATTTCCGGCTTCAACCTGGGACGTTGTGGAGCGACTGCTGAAAACCTGCTTCGATGAACTTGTGGCACCGACATACGGGTACTTTGGGGCTAGTCGCGACATCTAGGGAAGGCTGGCCACACTTATCCATCAGAAAAGCACGTTGTTGTCTCTTTTAATAACAGAGTCCACACAGAAGTCTGCTATTTCAGCTCCGGCTCACTCCCAAGCCTAGTTATCACTATTAAATATAAAGTAGTTTTTTGGAAGAGCATTTCAAGCAATATGGCAAAAGTGCTCCAGGAAACATCTATTATTGCTCTTTTAATGGTGCTCAAAAAATTGACTTTAAAATAAAAGTTGCAGATCGGACATTTAATCCTCGTTGCTTTAAGATGTCAGTTTATGTCACATTTATGGAAAAATGTGTTTTATTTCCCCAACCACCTACATGCTAAACAGAAACTACCATCACGCTAAAATAAAGCGAGAAATGAGATTTAATGAATATTTTTGTATCTTGTGTAAAATAATCAAAAGCTAGGCTCCAGGAATGTCGGGACTTGCAGGTTTAATCTTGGCTTCTCCCGACAGATCACGGATCAGGAAGCTGAGGCTCGTTTCTGTAAGCTGGTGCAGCAGCTGCTGGACGACCACAAAGACGTGGTCACCAATCTGGCCCAGGGCTTCAAGGAGTGCCGCAGACACATCCAGGTACCAGAGGATTTGCTCTTCCATGATGCTTGTTCCATCTATGAACGGTTTTACCGACAGAAAATCCAAAAGCACGTTTTCTTGCTTTTCCAGGACGAGACGATCATCCGGAACTTCCTGGATACCACGCTATGCTCTCGTCTGGGAATCCGGATGTTGGCCACGCACCATCTGGCCCTGCATGAGGATAACGTAGGTTTTAGCAGGACTGGACTCCAGCTTTGAACATAGTTGTGTTTCTATATTTACTTTTTACATGGGAGCAAAGATGAGAACCGGAGTTTTGCAGCATTATTAATCATAAATGAATTTTGTGATCTGAATGAACGTGTTTCTGTTTTTGCTCCAGCCGGATTTTGTCGGGATAATCTGCAGACGTCTGTCTCCCAAAAAGATCATCGAGAAGTGGGTGGACTTTGCCAGGTGAGTGTTTTGGCGACTTCCTGCTCCCACAACCCGCATGAGCTCGATATCGATGAACATGTCAGAGGTCAGCTGATAAACTCTCGTGAATGAGATACGAGCTATCACCTCTGTTTGCTCGCCGTTATCTCATCAGAACAGTGTTTTTCTTTTCTAAGCATATAATTAGTTCTTAATGAGATTAAATACATCCAACCAGGAGCCTTCCTGTTGTGTGTGTATGTGTGTGTGTGTGAACCATTTATATAAGAATAATTCTTATAATTTGGGTTTAAATGTAATAAAAATATTTATTTCCCCATCACGTCAAAATGATTTCTTCAAATATAAATATTTTAGTTTATTCTCATCCTCAGCTTGAAATTATTTAAAAAGTTTCAATCTACTTAAAATTTTGGGGAAAGTCTAGAAATATAAACGTCCATGGGGATGTTTTTTAGCTCAATATTAAGGAAATATTTAATTAATTCATTAAAAATAATTCAACTTTATTAACTAATAATTTGTTTATTTTATTATTGTTTATTCTTTCATTTGATCATATTTATTTATTCTATATGTGTATGGATTTATTAAATATTTATTAATCACCACACCGAGTAATCTTTTTCATGTTTTTATTGACAGGCCTAATAACACGTAATTATTATTTTAAAAGGAAGCAAGAACTCAGTTTTAATAGTTTAAACCGCCCGTTCATGTTCACATCATCACTATAAAAGTAAAACTTCATTTCTCTCAAGAATAAATACTCATTTGACTTCTATTTATTTTCTATAGTTTTAGTTTACAATAACACCAAATTCCTGAATGTTCTAATCAGTGAAGGCTTGTTGTTAATAGATTATTTTACACAACAGCTGATCAGGTTCCAATAAAAGTCTCAAAACTTACATAAAAATGGGTTTTTCTCTGGTCGGGTTTGGCACGGGCCTTTCAGAACCGTCTGGTTTAGACTCTGGGTCCTTTTGTCTCGCAGGCGTCTGTGTGAGCATCAGTACGGGAACTCTCCCAGGGTGAGGATCAACGGACACGTGGTGGCTCGTTTCCCTTTCATCCCACTGCCTCTCGATTACATCCTCCCTGAGCTGCTGAAGAATGCCATGAGGTAAAGCATGCACGCACACACACACACACACACACACACACACCTGGGCCTACACCTGTCCACCACCCCTGAGTGATAGTTCAGTGTTGAACACCAGTTTTCGGTCTCCTCAGAGCCACTATGGAAAGCCACCTGGACACTCCGTACAACGTTCCCGATGTGGTCGTCACCATTGCCAACAACGACATCGACTTTGTCATCAGGTGAGCTTGTTAGCAGATATTAGACGAGTTAGACGGGAGGGAGGAAGTGGAGCTGTTTTCGGAGGAAACTCCAAAGGAAAAAAAGTTGGGCCCCCTCTGCGTTCGTTGTGCGTTTAATAAGTTCCTGGCGTCGAAGGGGATTTCCGTTAAAGAGCTATTAATGTAGAGAAGACGTTGGTGTCGACTGGCTTATTTGGTAGAGGATGTTCTTTTGCTCCACATCCGAGTCCTTCAATCCAAACCAGGTCCACGCTGCAGCACCAACTGCTGCCTTGCTTTGGTCTAAAGTTGCGGTAGAGCCTAAATCTCTACTGTTGGCTAAACTTTTATCATTCCTGGTGTCTGTTATTTACATCGTCCATCACCCGTTAGCATCGGGGTAGAGCGCATGTTTACAGAACAACCCACAGCTGCAGGAGTGGAATGCAGCCCTGTGTCACACACGTGCTTTCTCTGCTCGCTGAATTCCCAAAATAAGTTGTGAAGCGAGCCTCTTGAACTGTGAGTTTGTAAAGTTTGAAGGTGAAAACCTGGAGCAGAGTGGATTCCTCACTGATCGGTGCATCAGGTCAAACAGTGGCTGAAGTCCACAAACGGATGAATCTGTCTCCTGTTCAGGATTTCTGACCGTGGAGGCGGCATCCCTCACAATATCATAGAGAAGGTAATGGACTACCACTTCAGCACCGCCGAGGAGAGCGCGCAGGACCCCCGCATGAACAACATCTTTAATACCATCACCAACAGTGGGAACCAGTCCAACCCTATGCATGGGTAAGCCGCTCCCACAGATCACCCCACAAACACACGTGGGACAGCTGGTTGCTTATTTGAATCCACCTTTATTTGAACCCCAGGTTTGGCTTCGGCCTGCCCACGTCCAGGGCCTACGCCGAGTACCTCGGAGGCTCTCTGTCTGTGCAGTCCATGCAGGGCATCGGCACCGACGTCTACCTGCGTCTGCGCCACATCGACGGCAAGGGCGAGAGCTTCAGAGTGTAGAACACCTCACCTGTAATCTCAATCGGCCCGTGAAAGAGGGTTTCCCACCATGACGATGAGCAAAGGCGAGGTTTATTTCTCCAGACTTCAAATTGTTTTATCTCTTCTTTGTTCCGCCTCCGACTGATTATAAGCTACGTTAGCTCTCACATGGGAGATCTGAGCTGTTTTCCCCGTTGTGTTTGTTGTCTCAAAGTCTCGGCGGCTCATAAATGTATGAATGTTTTGATAATCGGGACAAACTGGGCATGGTTTTCAAAATTGTCGGTGAAGCGAGAGGAAAGGCACGTGAAACGCAGAAACACTCCTGAAAAGCTGCTCTCGGGGTTTATTTGTAGTTTTGATCCCATTTTGTGTACTTTAAACAGAAGCCGGCGTCCTGTGATGAAAGATTAAATGTGTGTAGGTGATCAAACGTCCCCGTGAACGCAGCTGAAACTCCAAACTGCTTCCGGTCTGCTTTCACCATGAAAACCTTCATTCAGTATTTTTGTGGGTCTGCAGGATGTTCAGCTGCCTTAAACGGTCCCTAAACTGCATGCTGACATTTACGTAGAATTTTTTCTGTTAAATGCCTTTTATCGGTCACACACACACACACACACACACACACATATGCACGCACACACATTAGTTTTATGTCATTTTTGCACAAAGAAAATATTCTCCTTGTAACGCTCGAATCACAGCTGTTTCTGTAAACTCGCAAAGTAACGATATATCTGAGAAACGTGTTCTGGTGTCGTTGTTTTCTGTTTTTTTAAAGGATTTTGTTTGTATTTAAAGTTTTTGAAACAAGGTTTTGTATGCGATCACTTTAAACAAAAAGGATTTATTGCACTATCGCAGTTTTTCATTGGCTAAAGTTGCTAATTATTTTCAGCCATTTAATTCCAAATCAGTTTTATTCTGTAAATATCTAAAAGCAACGAATGGCCTCATCTTTACTTTGTAATTGCAACTCGTACAACTAAAATCTCAAGAGTTTGAAAAGTATTCTTCGCCTCGTGAAAACACGATGAAGGAGAGTGCTGGTGAGTTTTTCTTTGCTTGTGCACATCTGGCTCTGCGCTGCGGATGGATGGAGTCAAAACGGCTCTAAAGCGCTCCCCCATCGTGTTAAACATTCCTGGGTGCTGCAACAGATCCGATTGTTAAAATCAGCGTCACACGATGCATCCGCATAATCATCGTTTTAAACTGAAAGAGCATTAGGACTCTTCGTTTACATTTCTCCTGATCATTTCATTTTGAAGCTAATCCCCAAAAACCCTATTATCTCGTGCATTTCAGGAAACTTGCATCTAAAAAATGTTTTTTAAGCTTACTAATGAACTAGTCTTCACTTCCTGTCAAAATGTCTCCTGCTTTTTAGTCTAAACTGAAACGAGCTCCACTTTGGTCTCGTTGGTGATCCTGGGGTTTCTTTTGTAAGATTCCAGACAAAAATAATTTCTCAGCAGCGTGTGCATTTATTTATCCTGCATAAGTATCTGGTAAAGATTGGATGAAGCCATTTCCTGCCACTGAAAGTTCAAGTCAACTAAATGTGTTTATTGTACCTTTTGAAAGTCTTGGAAAAGGACTATAAAATATGAAGTGCATGCATGTAAAGTGGAGAGAGAGGAAAAGAAAGAAGTTGGTTTTTGAAAGATCAGCACATTTATTCCTAAAAAAAAAAAAAAAAAAAACTGTGCAGATGCCATAAAATGTGCACTGTGTGCCCTCTGCTGGTCTGAAAGTGTAAAGGCAGGCTGTTGCAGTTCAAGTCAGGGAAGTTTTTGTTTTTTCTCCTGATTCTTTTAAAATTTAGAAGGAAAAAAACCTAAAGTATGAATCCGATTGTTGGAGTTCTGTTACTGACCTTGGAGTGTGTTGTCTTCTTGGCTGTTATTGCTTTCTCATGATTTCTGCTGTGTTCAAAACGTTGTAGATAATAAATTTTACCTGGTCAGGACATGAAGTGTGATCTTCATTGTTGCCCATTTGAAAACTCATGGGTGTGAATGTCACATTCGGGAGCTTTTAATGACTTTCATTATGTAACAAACATAAATGTGAGTTTAATCTCTTTATCAAAAATACCATTTAATGGTAGTCCGTTATCGTTGGTCTATCCATACCATGATGCTACCACCGCCGTGCTCGCGTGTCAGACTTCCAATGCTTCCCTGCATGACTCACAGCTTTATGGGATTTAAACCACCAAATGGTTCCCGAATGCGGCCGTGTCTGCAGCTTGCCGCTCCCCCAGGGGATGGGTGAGATGCAGAGAAATAATTTCACTAGTGTGCGACGAATGATGGAACTTTATTCCTGAATGCTTGAGGAAATACAAGAAAAGAAAAAAACTATCTTCATTCCTTTTATTTTGGCAGTATGTTCCAGGATGTGAAACGCAGCTTCCGCGGATGACACGCGTCACATGAGACGATCCAAGGCAAAGTCTGATAAGCAAACCAAAATGATACTAAATCACTATCAAAAAAACTGCAAGTGCACTTTAGTCTCTTGTGAATAGAAACCGTGACTGAGTGACACTTTGGTCTGTCGTCATTTGGAATGTAATCGGTTGGTGCTTGTGTTCTTCAGTCGGACGTTTCCCGTTGCCCTTTATGAAGTTTCAGTGTTTCCAGTTGAAGATGTTTGTTGTTTAGCAAAGCAGCACTGTATAAAAGGCAGGATTTCTGTAAGGCGAGATGAAAGATGGACACATTTAAACATTTGGAGCAGCATTTGCAGTGCTTTCTACACAGGCTGCGGTCTTTGTAACAGAAGGCAAAAGCTTTGTAGGAGGACAAAATGAGATTTTGGATGAAAACAGCTGACATCCGAGCTAGTTCACAAAAATGCAACATCTTTTTTGTTTTTAAGACTTCCGTGCCACCGTGTGGCGCCAAACACACATTTATGGGTCTGACTCCATGTTTCCTTTGGAATCCGGTGGAAAATATTTGGTATCAGGAAAGGCAGGAAAGCATGCCGTTACTTTGGTGCACTCCGAATGCTCCTGGCCATGTGTTTTTAAAATCTATTTTCAGCTAATCCAACCAGCAAAAGCTCTGAAATGA